AGAGCCGGGGAGAGAACCCAGGAGTCCTGGCTTCCAGCCCCCCCTGCTGTAACCCACCAGCCCCCGCTGCCCTCCCAGAGCCGAGGAGAGAACCCAGGAGTCCTGGCTTCCAGCCCCCCCTGCTCTAACCCACCAGCCCCCGCTGCCCTCCCAGAGCCAGGGGAGAGAACCCAGGAGTCCCGGCTCCCAGCCCTCCACCCACCCGCCCCCATCAGAACATCTTACATCTGTCTCCCCAGAAGAGAGGGGAAGGGTTACCTGGCTAGGTTCCCCCCCACACTGGGGGAGCTCGGGGGGGGGGGTTGCAGCAATTCCGGCTGGCCGGGGGAGAAGCCCCCCCCCAGGGTTAATCCCCAGACGGTGGCAGGGCGGGGGTTGGGCGGACGGAGCCGGAGCAGCCGCTGGGTTCCTGCGCGGTGACAGCAGCCAATGGCGGTGGGTGGGTGGAGGAGGGAATGGGGGGACCCCTCCCCTGCCCATCCATCATCAGCTGCTGCTGCTGCTACCAAGTGAGGGGGGGGGCATGTTCCCGGTCAATTTCCCGCACATACACCCCCCCACACAGGGACTGACACTGACAGTGCAAACCACAGGGACAGATCCAGAGAGAACCCAGGAGTCCTGGCTCCCAGCCCCGCCCTGCTCTAACCCACCAGCCCCCACTCCCCTCCCAGAGCTGGGGAGAGAACCCAGGAGTCCTGGCTCCCAGCCCCGCCCTGCTTTAACCCACCAGCCCCCACTCCCCTCCCAGAGATGGGGAGAGAACCCAGGAGTCCTGGCTCCAGCCCCCCCTGCTCTAACCCACCAGCCCCCACTCCCCTCCCAGAGCCGGGGAGAGAACCCAGGAGTCCGGGCTCCCAGCCCCCTGTGCTCTAACCACCAGCCCCCACTCCCCTTCCGGAGCCGGGGAGAGAACCCAGGAGTCTTGGCTCCCAGCCCCCCCTGCTCTAACCCACCAGCCCCCACTGCCCTCCCAGAGCCGGGGAAAGAACCCAGGAGTCTTGGCTCCCACTGTTAAATTCCTACACATACCAGCTCTGTATCTGCCCCCAGTCTAGGGGGATTTCGGGTTTTTCTGGTTTGAAACAATCCAGGACATAGAATTGGGGGGTGGGACTGAATAGGGAGACAAGTATGAAGGGGGGGATAAGGGGCTCTGGAGATAGGGTGTGGGGGAAGGGATGGGCAGGTAGAGGGGGTGCGGGGAGGGATGTTTAGATATTGTTATTTTGAGTGGTAGCCCGCATAACAGTTAATGAATAGATGGTGGGGGCTGGTGGGTTAGAGCAGGGTGGGCTGGGAGCCAGGACTCCTGGGTTCTCTCCCCAGCTCTGGGAGGGGAGTGGGGGCTGGTGGGTTAGAGCAGGGCGGGGCTGGGAGCCAGGACTCCTGGGTTCTCTCCCCAGCTCTGGGAGGGGAGTGGGGGCTGGTGGGTTAGAGCAG